ATCTGGGTCCAGTCAATTATTCCTGGAGAGTATCTAATCACAGGTATAGCCCAAGTATTTATGGCTTTTATGATGTTTCCTCCACTCAATTTGGACATTAATATCTTATGAATTCGCCGGATGTACTTGGCTGAAGTTAATTCCTTGACTTTATTATGCATTAAGTCAGAGGCTTCTAAAATCCCCAAGTACTTGTAGCCTTCTTCTGATTTTATTGCTGTTAAGTATCGCGTGACAATTCAAATAGCCCTATCAGGAATCAATCCTGAGAGCGGGAACTTTAAAGAAGCATCAGTGGCTGAAGCCGGGGACAGCTCCCGTATAAAAGGAGCTGCTGCGGCTGTTATTGCCATTGCGACTACGGAGTTAAATAAAGGTATTAACTATACTGTGAGTCCTGTCCTTCTTGTGCCCACGATCTAACACTGGCGATGAGGATGGGATACTGAAGGACGAATCGAACACCGATCTCCAAAAGCAATCAACAGCCAACGATCAAAGACACCGCATCGTCCAGATCATCGGCTACAGAGATGTCCGCTATCACCCCACCCGCTCTGTTCAACCCAGCAGGCGAAGATTGGGCTGCATACATGGAACGCTTCTATATGTTTATGGAGGCGAATGATCTACTAAGCTTATTGGAGCAGAGGAAAAGAGCTCTTTTCCTCACACATTGTGGACCAGCAGTCTTCAAGATGGCCAAGGCACTCACCGCCCCGACCGACCTAAGAACGATGACCTGGCCGACTCTGCAAGATATCCTAAAGGCTCACTATGCACCCCAAGCGTCCTCTCTGGTAAGAAGGCATGAGTTTTATCAGAGGGACCAAAAAGAAGGTGAAACGATCAGCGAGTTCATCGCAACCTTATGGGGAATAGCCGCCGCATGCGATTTTGTGAGCATAGAGGAAGCCATGAGGGACCGTCTAGTACTGGGACTGAGACACCTCACACTACAGAGTAGGCTGTTAGCCAGACCACAAATCATATTCAGGGAGGCCTTGGAGGAAGTATCAGCAACCGAAGCTTTCCAGAAATCCACGGCAGCTATGAAGAAAATGAAAAACGGGCCACCAGTAAAGGAGGAAGCCTCCGTGCATTACGAGGAAGCAGAGACGGAATCGGAGGAAGAAAAAGAGGAAGACAAGGTCCATCACCTACAGTTCAGATGGAGGGAAAGGCCACAAGCAAAAGGAAGGAAAGAAATCTGGTGCTCGGGATGTGAAGGAAACCACCCGCGATCCGAGTGCAGGTTCTGCGACACTATATGCCAGAGATGTGAGTGAAAAGGGCACATAGCAAGGGCCTGCAGGGCATCCCAGCCAGCATCCAGAAGAAACCGGCCGCCCCGTTCACCAACCAGTAACAGGAGATCCCAATCCGGAGGAAAAAAGCAGCCATTTGGGTGAGGGCAGAGGACTGACGACCACAGAATGGACCGAGGAGAAACCCACCATACCATCATGTTGGGCCATGCCAGCACAGGAAAAGTGGACAAGATGGCAGCGACCGTCCTCATAGAAGGGAGACCCTGTAAAATGGAGGTCGACTCGGGGTCCAGCCTATCAATGGTATCGTGGACAACAATAAAGCAGCTAATTCCGCACATCAACCGCCGCGACTTAAAATGACAACGGCTAACACTCGTCGACTACCAAGGTCATCGAATCTGGTTGCTCAGGGAGTCTTAGAACCTACAGACCATGCAAGGTGGGAAACCCCTATAGTGACGCCCATCAAGCCAGACAGGTCAGTGCGTTTGTGCGGAGACTATAAAAGTATGATTAACAAGGTGCTCTAGCAAAACGCATACCCCGTTCCAGTGGTACAGCACCTATTGCATTCGTTGGGCAGGGAGAGGATCTTTGCGAAGCTGGATTTAGCACAGGCATACCAACAGCTCCCAGTAGACGAGGCCACCACCGAAGCCCAAATGATCATAACTCATAGGGGAGCATTTAAATGCAAAAGACTACAATTTGGGGTGAGCGTAGCACCCGGATTATTTCAGAGCCTGATGGAACGGCTTCTGCAAGGAATCGACGGAGTTGTTCCTTACTTTGACGATGTCTTGATATCAGCAGAAGACCTACCACAATTGAAGCAGAGATTGCGGGAAGTACTGGCGAGATTTCAAAAAGTGGGGCTTAAGGTGAAAAGAGACAAGTGCCACCTAGCAGAGAAACAGGTCAAGTTTTTGGGATATCTCATCGACGGGTCGGGGATCAGACCCACACCCGGAAAGCTGAGAGCCATCAAAGAGGCCCCTACACCCAAGAATAAGACAGAATTACAGGCATTCTTAGGGTTGCTCAATTTTTATAATGTATTCCTACCACAGAAGGCGACTACTGCTGAACCGCTCCACTGGCTACTGGACAGAACGGCAGAATGGAGATGGGGGGCTACCGAAAAGAAGGCATTCGAAGATATAAAAAAGCTATTGACTTCGGACAGAGTACTGGTGCAATACAGCAGGACATTGCCAATAAAACTAACATGTGATGCATCCCCTTTCGGCATTGGGGCAGTATTGAGCCACACCATGCCAAACGGAAAAGAAGCCCCCATCGCATTTTTCTCTCAAACTCTGTCAAAACCAGAAAGAAACTACAGCCAATTGGACAAAGAAGCATTGGCTGCAGTAGCCGGAATAAAAAGGTTTCACGAATATCTCTACGGTCGGAAATTTGAACTCATAACTGACCACAAACCGCTATGTGGTAGCATAGCGGGAGACCCACACCACCTATTTTGTCGCCCCGAATGCTGAGGTGGATAGAATTTTTGGCCGCCTACATCTACACACTCCGACACAAGCCAGGAAAAACAATAGACCATGCAGACGCCCTAAGCAGTTATGTCAGGTGTGTTGTGGACCAAGTGCCTGTCAGTCTGAATCCTAAAGTCCCACAAGATCTTGAGTTTCTCATTCTCTAAAACTTTCTCAACCTGATGTTCCCAATGGTTTTTGCTGTACTCAAATCCAAACTTCTGGCACAATTTCCAGTGAATGATCTTAGCAACACGGTCATGGCGTTGTAGGTAGTCAGTTTGTGAAATTTTGCTGCACCCACTGATCAGGTGGTTGACTGTCTCATCTTTCTCATTGTAGAGGCGGCATTATTGTTGTTGTTGTTGTTGTTGTTGTTATTATTATTATTATTATTATTATTATTATTATTATTATTATTATTATTATTATTATTATTATTATTATTATTATTATTATTATTATTATATACACAAAAATGACAGTATACACAGCAAATGAGATAACCATGCTGGATTTTGTATCACAAATCACTAGTCAAATACTTCCCAAGCGTTTAGGACTGTGTGATGTATCAGCGGATTATGCGAGCAGATCCCAGTAAGGTGGCCTTCTGCAGCTGACCAATGGTGATCTTGTCAGCGCCAATTGTTTTTAAATGTTTGCCTAGGTCTTTAGGCACAGCACCCAGTGTGCCGAGTACCACTGGGATCACCTGCACTGGTTTATGCCAGAGTCTCTGCAGTTCTATTCTCAAGTCCTGATATTTGGTGACTTTTTCAAGTTTTTCTTCTCCACAATTGTGATATCCGGGGTATTGTGTCCTAAAACTTTGTCAGTCTGTATTCAGAAATCCCACAGCAGTTTTGCATGCTCATTTTCGACCACTTTTTCATTATTATTATTATTTATTGGTTAATCTTTAGTGAGATTCACAGCCTTTGAGGCTGGTTAATAGCTCAGCAGCTCGAGTCCTAACCAAGGACCTAGGAACTGTTAAGGTATCGTCGGAGGATGTAAGCTGTTCCGAGTAAGGTGGTTTTTTGTAGAGTCAAAATGTTCAAGTCCGGCAAATTTAGAATTTCTAAATAGCGGGGTAGCCCTTTGGGTATTGCTCCGAGGGCTCCAATTACAATCGGGACAACACACGATTTCTTTTTCCACAGTCGCTCAACTTCAATTTGTAAGTCCCGGTACTTTGTGATTTTTTCTTGCTGCTTATCTTCAATTCGTGCATCACCAGGTATTGCAATGTCAATGAACCATACTTTTTTCTTTTCAACTATTGTTATGTCAGGTGTGTTGTGGACCATTGTGGACCATGATTGACTGATGCTAATGGTTGATACAGGTTGTTGCCAGTGTCCTAGGTATCAACCAAGTATCTTCTTAAAATAAAAATAATAATAATAATAATAATAATAATAATAATAATAATAATAATAATAATAATAATAATAAATAAAAAGATGATGATGATGATGATGATGATAATAATAATATCTGGCTGACTGTACAATGAACTATAATAATAATAGTGGACATGGCAATAGCTGGAGACAGAATAGAAAATAAAGAACTGGACAAAATAACAAAATACAAAGACCTCAAAAATAGAAATAGAATGACTGGAAAATGAAAGCAAAGGTAGTATCAATAGGTGCCTTGGGTGCAAACTCAAAACACCTGGAGCATTACTTGAACACCATCGACATTGACAAACCCACCATTGATTAATTGCAAAAGGCAGCTTTACTTGAAACACTTTACAACCTGTGACAATGCCTTTAACATCATCAAAGAAAAACATCCACCTATCCCAGGTTCTTGGGAAGAACTCAACAGGTGGATAAAAATACCAAATCCAGTTGAAACATCTAGTTGACTGTGCAATGAACCATAATACTGTAATTATAAAATCCACAAACAAGTAATCACTAATGTGATTAAAATAGCAAACAATGAAAAATATCAAACAGGAGTATAAATGGAATAGATGGAGTCAAAATCAGAAATGCATTCAAGTGTAGGTACTTACCTGTGTTAGAATTGAGGTAAAATCCAAGCTGCTGTTTACAGCAGCCTAGTACCAATGGACCAATTACAGGACCAAAAGTTTAAATCAAAATCTCAACCCTGTTTTAGTAAATTATAATTCCTAAGCATTTTTTTTTATAAATGAGAGTATTAAGGATAGAAATATATACATACATGTATATCTTACCTGTATAGTGCTCTTCCACCAATAGTTACCAGATTTGAAAACACACTAAAATCTGTCATATTTTCAGGCCAGGATTGTATATTCAAGAATCCTACAGAAGATTAAATCAGAGGAGTTAGAAAATGTGCCTGTTACAATTATGGCAGCATTTCATACTTGAAAACTGTTTGCATTGAGAGCAGAGAACATTTGGAGCTTTCCAATCTGTAAATTTAGAGCAGAATGTTCTCCACAGGGGAGAAAGTTGTTTGAAAAAAACTGGAAAAAAACACCTCCAAACGAAATAAAATAATAACATAGGCCCTGTAAAGGCTAATATACTGTAAGTTTATTATGGCTTAATTTTTTAATATATAACATTAAATAATATATATATTAATATTAAAATAATATATAAATAAGATTTTTTTATTGAAACATAAAACAAAAACTGAAGTGGGAAGATATATAGTAGGGATGACCATCATATTTTGATGAATTTTAGAGCTCAAGCTGAAATAGGATAATTCAAAAGAATTGGAATGTGAAGTAACCCACAGCAGCCTCGGAGTTTCAGCGGAGTAAGTGCCTCTCTCACTCTCTTTGCAGGATGCTTTGGAATTACTTTGGACATGTTCAAATCATTGGAATCAGATGGCTTACATCCCAAGTTTCTGAAAGAGATGTGCTCTCAGAACTACTGAACAGAATCTTTCAGTGCTCCTGGAGCACCAGGAAACTATCAAGAGGACTGAAAGAGCTGATGTGGTTTCAATCTTCAAAAAGGGGGGAAAAGTGGATCCAGGAAACTATAGACCAATCAGCTTGACATCAATACCTGGGAAAATCCAGGAAGACATAATCAAGCAGCAGATTTTTGAGCACCTAGAAATGAACAAGTTGATTACTACAAGCCAGAATAGATTTGTTAAAAATAGATCATGCCAAACAAATCTTACTGCCTTCTTTGATAAAGTGACTAAATTAGACTTCAGTAATTGATTTGACAAAGTAGACCACACCCTACTTCTTGGTAAGACAAAACAATGCAGCATAGATAGTACAATCACAAGATGGATTTGAAATTGGCTGATCAACCACATTCAACATGTGGTATCTCAAAGTTTTGTCTTGGGCCCAATGCTCTTCAATATTTTCATAAATGATCTGGGTGAGGGGACAATAGGAGAACTCATCAAATTTGCAGTTGACACTAAGCTGGGGGGGAATTGCTAACACTTTGGAAGATGGACTCAAGATTCAGAAGGATCTTGACAGACTTGAGCATTGAGCCCTATCCAACAAAATAGTGTTTGGTGGTGAGAAAAGTAAAGGCAGGAAAAATGAAATGGCACAGATACATGATAGGCAGTACCTGGCTCAACAGTAGTACCTATGACAGGGATCTAGGTGTCCTGGTGATGACTGTTTAAGTGTGAGCCAGCAGTGCATTGCAACTGCCAAAAAATCCAATACTGTCCTAGACTGCATCAACAGACAGACAGCATCAAGATCACAAGAAGTGACAATATCACTTCATTTATTTTATTTATTTATTTATTTATTTTTAAATTTGTATACCGCCCTTCTCCCTGAGGACTCAGGATGGTGAACAGCCAAGTAAAAGCATAAACTACAAACATTAAAATACAATTAAAAAGATATATATATAAATTTGGCCCCATGATTAAAAACAATAACAAACAATTAAAAACATTTTAAAAAGTGTTAGGCCAGCCCAGCTTGCTGGAAAAAGAAGGTTTTAAGGGCATGGCGGAAGGCACCGAGGTCATACTTCATACTGCACTAATGAGGCCACATTGAAATATTGAGTCCAATTATGGCCACCATGATGCAAAAAAGATACTGAGACCCTAGAAAGAGTACACAGAAGAACAATAAAGATGATAAGGGGTCTAGAGACTGAATCATTTGATGAACTGCTAAAGGAATTAAGTATGTTTAACATAACAAAGAGAAGATTTATTTATTTATTTATTTATTTTATTTTATTTCTATACCGCCCTTCTCCTGCGGGACTCAGGGCGGTGTACAGCCAGGATAAAACATAGCATATAAAATTTAAAAGCATTTTAAAAAACAATTAAATAATTTTGGCCCAAGTTTAAAACAACCCAATTAAAACCGAAATCAATTAAAAACTGAGAGGATGGGATCAAGTCAGCCCGGCTAGATGGAATAAGTGTGTTTTCAGGGCCCGATGAAAAGTCCGGAGGTCTGATATTGTGCATATCTCAGGGAGCAGGTCATTCCAGAGGGCAGGTGCTGCCACAGCCGACACTGTCTGGCCGACGGCACCCTGAGGAGACCCTCTCTGTGCAAGCGAACCGGTCGGTGGGAGGCTATTGGCGGCAGAAGGCAGTCTCGTAAATACCCCGGCCCTAAGCCATGGAGCGCTTTAAAGGTGGTCCCCAACACCTTGAAGCGCACCCGGAAGACCACAGGAAGCCAGTGCAGCTCGCGCAGGAGAGGTGTTATATGTGAGCGCCCCGTCGCTCCCATAATTCCCCGCGCGGCCGCATTCTGGACCAACTGCAGCCTCCGGGTGCACCCCAAGGGGAGCCCCACGTAGAGAGCATTGCAGTAGTCCAGGCGGGAAGTGACGAGTGCTTGAGTGACCGTGCGTAGGGAGTCCCGATCCAGAAAGGGACGCAACTGGCATATCAGGCGAACCTGACAAAAAGCCCCCCTGGCCACGGCCGTCATATGCTCTTCTTTAAGGGTAACATGACAGTCATCTCTGGTACTTATCACAGAGAATTGGGGATTAGTTTATTTTCCAAAGCACCTGAAGGCAGGACAAGGAGCAATGGATGAAGCTCCTTAAAGCTTGTTAAAGAGAGATCCAACCTGGAACTAAGGAGAAATTTCCTGACACTGAGAACAATTAGCCAAACTTGCTGCTTGGAGTTGTGAGTGCTCCATTGTTGGAGGTTTTCAAGAATAGATTGGATAGCCATTTATTCAAGATGAAACAAATACTCCTGCCTTGGGCAGGGTTTGATTAGAAGACCTCCAAAGTCCCTTCCAGCCCTATAATTTTATGAATTCCCACCTCCATCTCAGGGTTAGGAAATAATTCACAAAACAGGATATTCTGTATCTGGACTGGGATGGTTTCTAGGGTACAGACAACCAGGTCCTCTCATTCTCTGGTGAAACTCAAGAGTTTGGCCTTGGATGATACCAGCCTGGAGATGGTGTTTTAAATGTAAATTCAGTTCTCAACCATGGCCCTGGAAATCACACAGCGCTTCAAGCACCCTTAGAATTGATCTGCCCAGCATTGTTTTTTATAACACATCCCCAAATTGCAACTATATCCTGTACCTTATCAATCTCAATTTTCATGTCGGGAGATGTTCTCTCAGTCCATCTAAGAACATGAACTGTTACAAATATAACTTCACATCCAAACATTTCTTTCTTTCCCTTTCACCCAAAACCTTTTTATCTTTCTGGATAATTAACCATTTTCTTCAATAAATATTTCTAAGAAACTTGAAAAGTTTCAGCTAGTATAAAACCAAGTGCTGTTCAGTGTATTTGGGATTTAATTCTCAAGCATCACTTAATATTTTGCAACATGATAGGGCTATTTTTGCAGCACTAGAATAAATGCCAAAACTAGGATAACCTAGAGGCACCATTTCTAGCATCTAGTGATTACCCAGAGTTTTGAATACTAGGTATGCTAACGCAGTAAACCACTATGAAAAATCTTATCTCTATTAATAAAAACGAAACTGCCATATGGCTATACAAATAGCTTGATTGCAGAAATCACAAAAATCTAGATGAATCCATATTGCCACAGTAAGCGTTTTCAAATCACTTCAGAATTGGTGTGGCAGGGTAAATTTGAAATACAGTTCAATGGTCAGTTAAATAAATATGTACAAATAAAAGAGATATTAGAAAAAAAGCCCGGAAAATACTCACAGGTCCTTCAATAACTAGCTATTGTCCACAGGATTAACTGCACAATTTCCACATTTATAACACTAACACACACCCAAAATCATATTTCAGCACTTTTCCATTTCTATTGTGCCACAAAAAGATAAAGAGCAATTTCCTGAACATTCAACTGGGCACTGACAATTTTATTTAAGTTCCTTAATACCATTCCCCCCCCCCTCTTCTCGTGTACCAGTATAACCAAAAAATGATGCCAGGAGTTATCACATAATTTTATATGCATTTGAAAGACCACATCTAATGTTGAAATAGCTATCTTAAGTAGGGTAAGTGAATAACAGGTGAAACTTGATAAACTTGTACAGTTTAGCCTTTCATAAAGTTAAATGATCATAAATCAGTTTCCTAACAGTTAGGAAAGTTCATTGGAATTAAGGGAGACAACAGTCATATTAAAGACACACACACACACCAGTGATTTATAATGCGCAAGCATATATATCATTTCACTTAAAAATACATAATGATTAGAATATGATATTATCTCTATGTAGAAAAATGGAAGATGGAACTGACCCAAAAGATCAGTAGAGGTAATCCTCCATTTACAACAATTGAGACCAGAATTCCCATTGTAAGTCATTACAGTCATAAGTCGAATCATCATGTGGCCACAACAGTTTTACGATCATTTTTACAACATAAGTTGAATCACCATGGTCATAAATTGAGTCACGCAATCATAAGTGTAAATCCACCTTAACCAATGGTGATTTTGCCACAAACCAGCAAAAAACATCAGAAACTGCATTCACGTTACTGCAGAATGCTGCAACTGATCATAACTGCAAGTCAACAGGCAACTGCCCAAATTGTTATTATATGACCATGACAGCAGGGCAACAGTCGTACGTTCACATTTAGATTGTGACTGTTTCAGAGGCCATCATTAATTCTAACAATTATACTAAGCAAACAATTATACATGGAGGACTACTTGTAATTTATCAGCGCCATCTTGTGAATTCATGGCCTAGAAGGAAAATATGTTAAGAATTTCTTCATTCTTACAAATGCATAAATGGCTCAAATTATGTAGATTACCTGTTATCTCTCTCACTGTTTGGAAGACATGTAAGTTCTGCGGGTCAATCGCTTCAATTGTGTGATATGGATCCCTGGAAGATAGCAATGACACATTGTGGTAATTTGAGTATGAAATTATGCAGATGGATTTACCCCATCTTTACCTTTCCTAACCAGGAAGAGTGTTTTCTGCCAATTTAAATTAGTACAAGTCCCATCACACCTTTTTTTTTTTTTTTTTGCTTTAATTTATATGCCGCCCTTCTCCAGAGACTCAGGGCGGTTTACAATGTGTTAAGCAATAGCCTTCATACTTTTGTATATTTATACAAAGTCAGCTTATTGCCCCCACAATCTGGGTCCTCATTTCACCTACTTTTGAAAGGATGGAAGGCTGAGTTAACCTTGAGCCTGGTGAGATTTGAACTTGCAGTAATTGCAAGCAGTAGATGTTAATAACAGTGCTTTAATCCACTGTACTACAGGCTCTTAAATTGCAGGTGCCAAATTGTCTGAATTGGCATAAGTCTCCAAGATCTTTCAACAGCTCACAAAGCTCCAATCCCCTGAGGTCCCTGGTTCTACCACCAGCAAAAAAAAAAAAAAAAAAAAAAAAAGGAGATGCCCTCTCAATATTCCAGCTGTAGATACGGCTGGAAAATGCAGTTTTCCAAAAGAACACAATTACATTTTCCATGCATATTTTATTCTAGTGAACAGGGGAGAGAATAAATCTTCCTTTTTTCTTTCTCTCTGATCTGAATGATAGCATTTACATAAGTGGATAATGGGATAAAAGCTTAAACTTCTTTGTGGGAGGAAAGAGAAGGAGAAGAGAGAAGCACGAAGCTGAATTGTTTTCCAACTCAAATTAAAATTTGTTATGTGGACATCATGTTCATCTTACATTTCTAAATGATGTATTATAAAATCTTGGCAGAATGAATGCTGTTCTTGCCAGCACTGGTTTGGCTGCTCATGTTTCCATCTATTAGAGCTAATAAAGAATACAAAATACCATTACTTATTTGATCAGCCAGAATTTATTTTCATGGTTACTGTATTTTATTTACATTTCAAATCGGTTTTAGGACTGGATTAGAATTGTTCCACAAAGTTTAATTCTTATCTGTTAAATATTTCTGATTAGAAAAAGTCAATCTATTTTTTCAGGATGTTGAAAACTGCAAGAGTTTTAATTATTTTTATTTAAATGAATGCATGTAAAGATATATTTAATTACTTTGTTTGTAAATACCTGCTGAAACCAATAAGTAACCCCTAGCAGCTGGGTGCATTAATTCAGTCAGGGCTAAAATCTTAATAAATTACATCAAGATTCCTATGTGAAGGCATACCACAGACACTATAATTTCAACAGTGTGTTTATATGTTGCTCTGCCCTAATGGTCAGTAAAGAAGCATATAAATTGACATTTTTGGAAGAATGTCCATGCCATTTGTACCTATCTAAACAATAATCAGATGACATCAAGTTTGTTTTTTCCCCTTAAAATCTGTGTACTGTCATGTTTAATATGATTAAAATGGAGTTGTTACTAGGTTTGGATTGTAATGTTATCCACTCCAGATTTCGAAGCAAAAGATCAATCCCCATCTCCATTGCAAACCAGCCTCCTCTGAAGTTTCATGGATGTCAATGACAGGAGGGGAAAAAAGAGAGGAATTGATCTATCAATTCAGCAAGTCATGTGGCCCTTGTTTGGGATGAAGATTGAGATGCAAGGGAAAAAAACAGTGAAAATACACTTGGAAAACAGCAAAGATAAATTCAGGAAGTATATCAGGAAATCTAGAACTCAAGGAAGTTTTTGGAGATGGAGAATTGAAATAAGTATATTAATGTATACAATTTAGTTTGAAAGCAGACCACTTTTTTAGATCCGGGTATTTTTCATTATGAAAGTTTGTAATTCCTTTCTTGGAATTATAAACTGACCCACAAGAGAAAAATCATAAGACAAAAACCAAAAACAGTGCCACAACAGAAAAATCACAAGACAAAAACCACTGTTTGTCTGCTCCCTGTGGAATTATAAATAGTGCCACAAGAGAAAAATTAATTAACGTTGAATTTACAGGAAGCATTTGTATGAAGAATAACTAGAAGAAAGAGACTAACAATTTAATTATGTGCAACAGGTGTGCCATTATTTGTTTTCCAGACCATAGAAGGCTCAAATTATATTTGCACAAAATGTAAACTAATCAAATTACTAGAAGAAAAATGGAAGTCTAGAAGCGTGACTAGCCACTCTGAGACCAGTCATTCTGAAACTTATTAGTGAATATAATGAACTCCTAGTAAAGACAGAAGTCAGTATCCGAACAGAACACAACAAAAAAGAAAAAAAAATCTATTTAAAAACAGAAAGGGCAATGAAAATGGCAGCAGATCAAAAAACCCAAAAAAGGCTGTGTCCCCACCTCGAGTTGAACAACTGATTTCATACTCTTTCCCTGGAAGAAAACATTCAGACACCGGGAGAATTCTGTATCAAGCATTCCAATGACAGGAAGTAAAGTAGCTCAGACTTTCCCAAAGAAAAAAAAGGCATATCTTGATAATAGATGACTCACTACTCAGAATCAGAAGAACAGAGTTAACAATTTTTAAACCAGGCCATTTTCTAGAGGGTTGTGTTGTCTCCCAGGTGCAAATATTAAAGATTTGATAGAGAGGTTCATGAAAAAATAATCAAGCCCAGTGATTATTATCCTTTTCTCCTCTTTCATGTTGGAATGAATGAAACAATTAAGAGCTTGAAAACAATTTCAACGGACTATGAGCAACAAGGGAGAAAAGCAAAACATCTGGGAGCGCAGGTGATGTCTCATTTGTACTTCCAACAAATAGTTAACATCCAGTGAGGGAAGAGAAGAATCTAGAAATAAATTGCTTGCTCAAGGGATGGTGCCATTGAGAGTACTTTGGATTTTCTAGACCAAGCATCACATTACCTACAGAAAGGACGTCTGGCAAAAGATGGGCTATGCCTCATCAGGACTGGGAAGAATGTGTTTGGAAAACAACAAGCTCAGCTCATCCAAAGGACTTTCATTTATAACTGGAAGGAGTGGGAGACCAATCTTTAATATCAAACCCCAAGCATAATCCATAAAACAATCAATCAGACAATGAGAAAGGGAGTGATGAGATGGAAAGGGAACTCAGGTTGTTCAGTTCATTCTGAATCTTGAGTCTATCATCCAAAGTATTAGCAATTGCCCCCAGCTTGGTGTCATATGCAAATTTGACAAGCTCCCCTTCTATACACTCATCTAGATAATTTATGATGTTGAAGAGCACTGGATCCAAGACAGAACCTTGAGGTTCCCCCCTGTTAGCTTCTCTCATATAGTTATTGCACTGTTGAGTAAATTTATGCATTTGGAAGTAGATAGAAATGTTCCCTTGCTATTCTTCATTCATAGAAAAATAACACATATAAGAAAGTTTTGAGGAGCATTTAATTTTGTATCTCTATAGATACGTAAAATAAGAGTAGGGCTAGATTGGAAAAGACCATAGAGAGACTAAGACTAGGAATTCAGTAATACACTTGAGAAATGGAATCATTTCCAGATTTTATTCTGAGGTTGAAAGAAGTACAAAAGAATATTCACATTAAAATCAAGGATTTAAAATCAAATAATAGACAATCAAAATTATTTAGGTTTCCTATTCACAATTTAGAATCTGTTTCATGGAACTAGCTTCATCCACAGTACATTTTTTAACTGTTATTTTTATTCAGTATAGTTTTGCTGTGAAAGGACAATCTGGAAGGAAAACATGCTTTAAAGCAAATATGTAAAGTTCAAAGTTTGTATTTCTTAAATTAAAATGCACTCCATGTATTAGGAACTCAAATCATGGTTTGTCAAATCAGGGAACAGACTCTGATTTCTAGTCACCTAGCAAACTGCATTATTGAAACAGAACTGATTATTTGAAGACTTATTCAATTGTTTTAATTTCCAAATATTACATATTTGGAATTTCCAAATATTTAATTTCCAAATATTACATATTACATATGCAGAAATGTCTTGCCACAGTTTTACTTTTCATGTCTTTTCTGCTGAATTTCTGGGGCTATGCTATACTAATCCGGTGTTCCCACTAATTAAATATAATTAAAATAGTTATCAAGGAATCTTTATGTTCTTTTGCTTAGGGTTATCTAAGCCCATAGGTATCCAGAGAATAGCTACAGTTATCTTTGGACTGTTCTGGAAAAATAGATAACAAATGAGATGTGGTTACTGATATCAGCTGAAACCAAGTTGTTCTACAAGTTGTTTTTACATAGAACAAAATTACCCTATTTTAAAAGCCAAAATTTGCACTTTTTGTTTCTAAATTTAGCACCCTACTGTATGTCTAGCAACAGTTTTCCCAAAGTATATTACTACTCCAGAAATCAGAGGAGAGGAAGAGAAAATTGTCATACAAAATTACAGCAATCAATTAAACTGAATAAAGATAATTTGCAATATCCTAGTGCCATTCATGCCATTCATAAAATACTTAGTTTCTGTGACATTGGGGAAAGCAAAAGTCATCAACATTTCAGCCATCAAAGTACTTATAATTTTCTCAGATATAAATTACAATGACTAAAATCTCATGACATAACGTTATGACACAACACTATAGTTTCTTATCCTACAATAAAATCACTGAAACATTTAAAATATGATCTCATGATATTTCAGTCAATTAAAATAAAAAATTTATTGGGTACCCAGCTCCTTAAAAAATCCTTGGTCCTTGATGCAGATTGATATGTAAGAAGAATTAACTGAGGAAATCTAGTATACATAGTAACATTACATGAAAGTACGTATTATAATCTATTATTATTAAGGTTTTCATGGTTTTGTGGCAATTTGTTTGTCATGGATGTTTTAATCTGAATTATTTGTTTATGCTCTTAGTTATTTTGAACCACCCAGAGTCTGTATGATTGTGTAATATATAGATTATGTAGACAGACAGACGGACGGACAATTGGATGGTGGTTCCAATTCCAATTCCAATTCTTGTATATGATACTGATGTGAAATACCTTTTTGCTAATTTTAGCAAACAATCTTCATGTTAATGGATAAACTGCCTGGCCTTGTATAATCCAGCACCCCCATTCTAAAGCTAACTTTTTTTTTCTAACGGGTTTCAATTCTGTTTTCAAAATGTAGTCATTTTCCTATGTCTCTGGTTGTTTCCTATGCCTCTGCTTTTCTTGAAATTGGTCAATGCATTTCTTTCAGCTACACTGATTTATTCTAATAGGGCTCAAAAACACTGAAATAGTTTTGATCAATCTTCTCATAAAATCCACAGGAGAACCCAAACTAGGACAGTAGTATGAGGCATCTTTATTTTAATGCCAAAGTATGGTAGCCTAAAGTTTCCTTTTGATGTTACCTTATCAACTTTTATGTTTAAAATTTAAAATCTGGATGAACCCACTACATGCTCCTCCTAGATATGTAAATTCACAGGTATCCAGATGAAACAAAGTTGGGCTAATATTTTATTTCAGCATTGAATGACAAAACTGCTGCACAGTGTAATTGTTTTTTTATTAAAAAAACATTGGCATTAGATATCATAATATTTTACACTTACCCACGAATTCCAGTGACAAGGAAGATCAAGTTCCCATTGATCTTGGTGCAGTTGATAAATTTATCAATGTTACTGGAGTCTACAGTTTGAGCATACATCAAACTTCCTGTACCTATGCCATCACAAGCTGCAAAAACAAACAACTTTGTAAAAATATGCAATCATATATATGAATTCTTTGTATAAGTGACTACCTAAATGAATGACAGCCTAGGCTGAAATTATCATTAGTAGAGGGCAGCAAGGTGATAATGTAATTGCTACAGGTAAAACTGAAAGCATGAAGACCACATTGTAGAATAAGGATTAGTCACAGAATGATTGTAGCTATATTTCTAGTAGAAAATCACTTACATGGAGAGAAAAGTTCTAAAGCAGGAGCTTATGGGATATGTATCACTACTGAATGGAGTGATCAAGAAAACTTGATAACATTACAGAACTGAACTGGGACAGATCTTGTACATGTATGTTATGAACTGGGAAGTAATAAATACTGATGATAATTAGAAAGGAATCAGGGGAAAAAACTATTCTGTGAAGAAGTCAAGAAAATGGCTATGTTTAATTTTTCTAAGTTAATGTAAAATCCTTTGTTTAAGAATTGCACATTGGTTTCTGAAGCCATATATTCCAGGAGCTTCTGACATAAATCTTCATCTTTTGTTCTTTTAGCTTTCATTTCAAAATAAATAATCTAAAAAAAACCCTTCTATTTCATCCGTGCGTATCCCCAAGCATAACATAAACCCAAATTATGTTAGGAATTACTTCATAAGGCAATCTATAGAATGCCTTGACTTACACACATGAGAAGATTGTGTATTGCCATAAAAGAGCTGCTTTATAGTACTAGAAATATTATGCAAAGATACAAATCATGCAAGATAAAGCAAAGAAATACACTATAGAACTCTTTTAGCTATAACTCTTCACGGTCACAATGGAGCAATTTTAATGTTCAAAATCCTGTAAAAATAGCTGGGTGATATTAATACAATCAAAACAACAAAAACAAGGGTAAACTATAAAGATCTCCAAACTTCTTTACTAACAATCCAGAATCATTTTAAGTATTTGGGGGCTTTTATCCCTATTTCTTTTCTTATAGTTTATCAAATAAATTATTTGACCCTGTACAATAAAAAAAAATTCTCATTACAACTGTTAGCCCCACAGAGAGAATAAAAAAGAAATGTTTGACTCAATAGCTCTAAACAGGGCTCAGATCCCACAGATCTTTAGGTAAAGCTCATAAAATAGATTATTCCTCTTACGGAGTTGCAGTTGTATATAAAGTTTACATAACCTTAGTTAAATGATATTGTTCCATGAAACCCAAAGTGAAGAAAAGTGAAGCAATCTTTACACAATACAAGGAGTTCTCCCTTTACTGACTGCCGACCATTTGATGTTATAATAGTTGAAAAACACCAGGTTTGTGACCAATCCTGACATGTACAACTGTTGTATTGTCCCACGGTCATGTGATCACCATTCAGGTGCTTCGCAACAGATGTGCATTTATGAATGTCACAATGACCTGCAATCACATGATAATCATATGCAAGCTTCACAACAGGCTTCCAAAAAGCAGAATTAAGGGAAAATAAAGAAGTGAAATTACAAGACAGAATCATATGATGTCTTGTTTAATGGCTGCAACTCTTAGCAACAGTGTTACTGATATCAATTGTGTTAGCTATGGAAAGTTAAATATTTATATTTTTACAAAGTTAAATATATTTCTACAAATTTGAATGCATGCTTACATTAGTCTTTATGTGCAATTTACATGTTGAGAAAGAAAAAAGAAGTAGAGAGTAAGGAACAGAGGTGGGTTTCAGCAGGTTCTGACCAGTTCTGGAGAACCAGTAGTGGAAATTTTGAGTAGTTCGGGGAACCGGTAGTAAAAATTCTGACTGGCCCCGCCCGCATCTATTCTCTGCCTCCTGAGTCCCAGCTGATCGAGAGGAAATGGGGATTTTGCAGTAACCTTCCCCTGGATTGGGGATGGAATGGAGATTTTACAGTATCCTTTCCCTGCCATGCCCACGAGCCATGCCCACCAAGCCATGACACGCCTACCAAGCCACACCCACAGAACCAGTAGTAAAAATTTTTGAAACCCACCACTGGTAAGGAAGAACTGATAATATGGAAGGAGTAAAGATTGAGCATCTTTTCTATCAGGTTTTTTAATATTCCATTTGGACAGAAACAACAGTTTTGTTTGGCCAGTGAGGTTTTTATAGTGTTGCTTTTGGACTTCTATGATGAGCTTGCAGAAAAGGTTTCCTTCTGACAACTACTGCATGCAAATCAATAAAACACGCTGAGGATCTGGGAACATTTACTCCGGTGTCAGCTAAAGTTTCCAGCAAGTCATTTGTAGTGATCTGTGGATTCTGTTGTTGTAGATCTGGCCAGTTTTCAGGCAGATCTAGCAGACATTCATTTCAATCTTCTTAATCTGCCCTGACTTCCATGTAATTTCCATTTCTCAACCATAGTTGAAAATGCTAGATGGAAACATTTAGATAATATTTTAAGGCCTTCCCCTGCTTTGTAAAGAAGAATTATCTTTATTTCCAAATGATAAGTTAAAAACTTAGAGAAGACAATGGTTACTGAAAGTAATAATCACAATCTAAAAAATTGGAAGGGTCAAAATATTTATTTCCCTGAGAAACTGTCTTCATAGGGCTAATTGTAGGCCTAACAAGTCAAGAATTTTGAGGGATTTTATTAATAATTTCACAGAATCAACCAGAAGGAAGTCGAAACTTCAACACCTGCTATATTTACTGTGTTCTTGAATCTGCAATCAACAGCATCTAAGACTAGTAGTAAATGTGCATTCAAGTTTCTACAAAAATGTCAGAACAGAATAACAGAGTTGGAAGGAATCTTGTAGGTCATCTAGTCCAACCCCCCGCCTAAGCAGGAGACTCTACACCATGGCAGTCCTGTCTCTTATTGAAAGCTTACAATGATGAAGCTCCCACAACTTCTGAAGGCAAGCTGTTCCATTGGTTGATTTTTTTTTCACTATCACAAAATTAGAAATCCTTATTTCTATGTTGAATCTCTCCTTGATCACTTTCCATCCATTGTTCCTTGTCTGGCCTTCAGGTGCTTTGGAAAATAGGTTGACCCCTTCTTCTCTGTGACAGCCCTTTAAATATTAGAACACTGCTATCATGTCTCCCCTGGTCTTTCTCTTCACTAAACTAGCCATGCCCAGTTCCTGTAACAGTTCTTCATATATTTTAGCCTCCAGCCTCCTAATCCTCTTTGTTACTCTTCTCTACACTCTTTCTAGAATCTCAACATTTTTTTTATAGTTTGGTGACCAAAACTGGATGCAATATTCTAGGTGTGGTCTTACTAAGGCTTTATAGAGTGGTATTAGTACCTCACGTGATCTTGATTGAATCCCTCTGTTGATGCAATTTAGGATTGCATTAGCTTTTTTGGCTGCTGCTGCACAGTTTTGGCTCATATTTAATTGGTTGTCCAGTAAGACTAAGACAACTAAGGTTGTCCATGATCCTTCTCACAATTACTTCTATTTAGCCTGATTTCTCCCCTATTCTCTTCTATATGTGTATTTTTGGTTTTTCTTGCCTAAGTGTAAGACTTTACTTTTCCCTACACTGAATTTCATTTTATTAGTTAGGGCCCAGTGTTCAAATCTGTCAAGATCCATCTGTATCTTGAGCTTATCATCTAAGCTCAAGATTCCTGCCAGTTAATATCGTCTGCAAATTTGATAAGTTCCCTTCTATTAACTCATCTAAGTCATTTATAAAGATATTGAAGAATACTGGGCCTAAGATGGAACCTTGTGACAACCTACTGCTTATTTCCCTCTATGTAGATGTAGTACTGTTAAGGACTACTTGTTGGAGTACAGTTTGTCAGCCAGGTACAAATCCATGTGATGGTGATGCTATCTATCCCACTTTTTTCTAGCTTACCAAGAAGTAGGTTGTGGTCTACCTTGTCAAACTCTGCACCATAAACACGTTATACAATTTAGCCAGTGGTGCCTATATTGTTGCATGCAACCATAACTCCACATAGAAACATGATATCTGAAAGAGTACTTTAACTAAGGGGAAAGCTCATAATGACCAGAGACATACCCCTAAATCATACAAAGGAACAAATTTGATCCCCATTCTGACCTACATAAATCAAATGTTTCCATGCATAGTTTTCTACTAAAGTTGATAGTTCTCGTTGAACAGATTTAAGGTGCACTAGAAACTAGCGTTAATGTTTCTCAAGCAATGTATTAGAAATTATTCATCCCAGAAAGCATTACTACATGCAAATATTTGAGGCATGTTGATACTAGAATATTTTCCCTGCTTCTGAAAACTAAAGCTCAGATTAAATGCGTAAAGATATCCTTAATATTCTGAATGTGCTTGCATAAATGCATGAGGTCTTCAAACTCAGCAGAGGACAGGGCACATAGACCTGCCCTGGTGCTTCCCCCGCCTTACCCTTCATACTGCCAGTATACTGGAGATGTGGAAGGGAAATGTACTTGCATACCTTGAAAGGGGGAACAGCTCTTCATCCAGCCTGGGACTGAAACTAAAGAGTGTTTTGGATTATATACAGAATTACACATTCTCCGCAGGCGTTCTCTTGAAACTGGGAAACTATCCAGTTTGGAGCTTACAAATGGTATCACTTAAAGCACAGTCTTTCATACTCATGTGAAAAATATAAAATTTGAACTGTCTTGTAAAAATACATTTACATATACTATTTGATTTTAGATATTTCTATTAGAATATGCATTTGGTTTTGTTCTTGAATTTCCCTTTATAAAGCACAGTTATAAACAAAAAGAATAAATCTCTTTTATCATTATGAACTACTTTCAGATTTGAATCTTCTTCAGGTTTGTCCTTATTTTTTTCCAAGAAAATATGGTCACCATAAATAGAAGGGGAATTCCAGAATATATTATATCTAAATTAGAGATAACAGTGACAGAGATATGTGGATAAGGACCAGATGCTGAATCCATTGAACCAGTGCACCATTGGAACAGTGAAGGGAATTATAATCTGGAAAAAAGGCTAAATATTTTGGGAAAGGGAGAACTTGGGAAAGCAGTCACATCTTTTTGCACGTGTATTTTGCAATCTGTGTTAAAGAATTGGATTCATTGTAGGAGATGAACAGACAGAGCTGGGTAGAGTTAAATGTGTCATCAGCTTTGAGTTGTTATGTTGCCATAAAGAGTCCAACTCCAATCTTTCTTGAATTCTGTTGGTCCTTATATGGCACCAATTTAGTATTGAACATCAACAGTTGACTAGATTCTTGTGTATAGGCTAGAGCAGTGATGGCTAACCTTTTTGCCATTGCGTGCCAGGAGAGTGGGGGCAGGGGAGGTTCATGCACATGCGTGCCCACACCCATAATTTTATGTACCCTGCCCTGCACATGCACACGCAATCCCCTCCCCCCCGCTCCTAGCACGCAATGGCCTGGTAGGCCCATTTTTCTTTCTCACCTGGCTCCAGTTCCTCTCTATGCATCTGGGAAGGGCGAAAACAGCCTTTCCCATTCCCTCGGAGGCCCTCTGGAGGCCTGAAAGGGCCCATTTCCCAACTCCTGGTGGGACAGGAAGTGACTTTTTTGCTATCCACAGCCTCCAGAGCCTCTCTAGGAGTCTCTGGGCCTTCCCCACTCCCCAGGCCCTCTGGAGGCAGGAAACAGCCTGTTTTTCTACTTCTGGTGGGCCCAGAAGGCCCGAAAATCAGCTGGGCGGCACGCACATGCACGCCAGAGCTGAGCTGGCGGGCCCACTGATATGGCTACGCATGCCACTTGTGGCACGCGTGTCATAGGTTCGCCATCACGGGGCTTGAGCACTAAATCTTTAAACTGCAACTTAATGTACGGTCCTGATCATTTGCACCTGAAACTAGGCATTAAAGAGATTTCTCAACTGCAAAACTGCAAGAAGTTCATCTTCCCTTCTTCGCTTTAAACCACCTTCCCATTATACTTCTGCTATTATCCTATGTAATTATAGTCTATTCCTCCTGTTTTATGCAGAAATAATTTCTTGATTGCCAGGAGCCCAATAAAGCTCACAGACAATGGGGCACAAACCCTGTTTAACTAGTTCACATACTTGCCTTTTTTTCTGATAAAAAGTTGCTCCCTAACTTTAATATCGCACACCCAATGTGATGCATTGTTGGTTTCATTGTCTTTCCTGAGCTTGAGGAAAAGGAGAAAGGGGAGACAACACTGCAAACTCCAAAAGGAGAAGGGAACATGAAGGAGCAACTCTTTGGGAGATTATTTCAGAGATCAGACTCTACCAACTTCATCTTACAAGCTGGGGTTCCAGAAGACCCTCAACTACTGTAGACTATGTTCAGTGGACTATGCGAAACCACATTTCCACAGGATTGCCACAGTTACCTTAGATGATCAAACAGCTACCTTTAGATAGTGAAACCTAAACTGGGTTCGGACTCCAACTGCAAGACTACCATTTATTGAACCACACAGAGTTTTTAAACAAAGACAGCCTACCTTTAGGACAAATGTCAGTGCATGGTTTACATGTCTTAATTCCATTTTCCTCTATTTCCATCTTGGGACTCGGACAGGCACGTACACACGAGCTGATATCAACCACAAAGTTGTCTAAAAGGAATAGAGGGGGAAACAATGAAAAAAGTGGCAAATAATGAACGTCCCAACCTCCATTTCGAAAGAGACAGGGTTGGTTAAGAGGCAGGACTTATATTTATATTAGTGCTCAACATGTTCTTTCCTATGATGTTCTATTTTATTTTCTGAAATGTTATGCAAGTTCCCACTCCCATGCTTTATTGCTAATTTAACATTCTTTAAACATTTTATTTCCCATGATATTGATTCTGTAACTTTTTAAAATGAGAATAATATTTTGGAATATATTTGTAGTATATCCATCAGAAACTATCAATTCTTACCATCACATAAAATAAAAAACTATGCAGGCTATTGAATAGTATATATATTGGCAATTGATTTTAAAAAATAAAATTTAATTTATATAAAATAAATTTAATAAAAAATAATTTTATTTCAGTTAGTAAGCAAAATGCCCCTGTAATATAAAGATAGAACTGGCTGTTATACTCGTCTAGTATTTACAATTATCCAACTGCTTAATTTTCAACTATAAGAAATATAAATTCATACTGCTTCAAAGATGGGCATTCTTTTGTAACTAGTAGTAGTAATAATAATGCTAATAATAATTGAAACAGGATTACATAGTAATCCTATGATGATTACCAACATCAAACAACATCAGCCTATATCATGTCCTTGAGAAGGATTCAATTAAAAATGCCAAATGTGTGACCAACCATAATAATAATGCTGTAAAGCATCTGGGATATCCAGCAAAGTGAAAGAAATTGTTGAAATTGAACGAAAGTGAAGAAAATTGAGCAATCATTAAATGCTATTTCTCATAAAACCCTACAACTAGGAGATTTTAAATATGATGTTTGATATTTGGAACCATAAATACCTAGATTTAGAAATCCATGTACAGCAATTAAGGGAGCAACGAAAATTTCTTCTTGGAATACCAACTTTTACAGATACTAAACTGCAAGATCTGGAAAACTATCTGAAAATTCTAATAATATTGGTAACAACAACACAAATAAAACTTATTTCATCATCAAATAAATCAAATAAACTCTCATCAAATTTTATTAGTATTCAACACCTATTACAATGCTGATAAAAAGGAATGAAAATACTGAGAAAAATAATGTTGAATGCTAGCTTTTAACTAAAAGGAAAATATATTGAACATAATTTTCTATTTCAATGATGTAAGTCTTTACATATTGCTTTTCAAAACTTGAGTTATAGGAAAAAGCTTCCACCATTGAAAAATATGAGTAGAAAAGAAATATCAAAATTCACAAATTTGATAGCAGAGCATACTAAACCACAGACACTGGCTGATCCTAGTTAACTAACTTATGGCACAGCAGCTACAGTGATAACATCAGAGTTAGAATACAATGCTGTAAAAAAGCATCAAAATCTATCATCCAAAGAGTGATTTCACTGGGAAAGAAAGTTCAATAAATTATGAACTGATATCAACAATCAGAAGAATTTGAAGGAAACCAAAATTGAAAAGCAATAATATCAAGGAACATTTACAGAAAAGATACAATCTTAGCAGTAAAATGAATTAAAATGAGTGACAGCTATTTTAAACACAATTGATATGAAGCTAGATTAAATCAACTTCAACAAAATCAGCAGTTTCAAACAATGAGCAGCTGTTTTATAAAACAGTACAGTGAAATATTACAAAGATAGATGTTTGTCCTTATAAAGATGAAACATTAACATTTTGGAGTGCCATCCAAAATAACTCATAAGACCATAATAAAAATGCAATTTGGAGAAGAGAGATTAAGAAGAATGTTGGCTCAATGAAAATGAATGACATGGTTATTACATCAGGAATGATTAAAAGTAAGCAAAAAAAGTTAAAAACTTTTCAGTAAAAGAAAGAAGAAACACAGCAACTTTGGCTCTATTTTCTGATGACCCTAATATTTTCATTAGTGAAATATTAAAAATTGGAAACATTAATTAATATATGACAACTGGTAGAACATTTTAATAATAAAAAACAGAAACAATGGTATAGTTGGAAGCAACTCTAGCGATTATGTCAATCACGTGCTTCTCAAGCTGCTAATTGGTATATTAGTAACTGCAATTTCAAGTTATATATTTTTTAAAAAAGAATATTGCATCCTCCCTGAACAAAGTAGCTACCAAAATTCACAAGCAACAAAAGATGCGGTTGATAAAATAATATTAAAATATTCCAAACAAAGATCAACAGATACAAGTGCAAAAAATTATAAATTCAAAGTTAAATGGCTGAAATATAATCTAAGAATAGTACCTATATAATCAAGTATACTGCTAGTATAATAACCTGGACACAGCTTGAATTGGACAAATTAAATCAGAATATCTCAAAAGTGATGATAATGCATATGCATTGCATCCATGAGGTGGTGCAAATCAATTAAATTTAGCATGAAGAATTTGAGGGTGTTACTGCATGTAAAAGAGGCAGTTGAAGAAGTTGTCGTTTAAATGCTTATTTCCAGGCAAACAAAGAGAAAATGCTTATTACAGTAACCAAAGAAAAGTCAGGTGCTAGCCAGGAACCTAAGAATCCTGAAAGTAGCAGAACAAAAAAACAAAACAAACAACCCCCCCCCCAATTCCAAAACCCTATAAAACTGAATTATTAGAAAGCCATTTAGAAACCACTGCATAGCCAGTACTTTTTTTAAAAAAATTAAAATAAACATTAAACATTTAAAATGAATATTACAAACATATGGACTTAAATCAAGGATTCAACATGCTTAAAGGAGCAGGAAACACATTTTTTTGTAAAGAAAGAGATGAAACTGGATTATGTGATCAGACGGTGGATGCAACAAAATTACTTATTAACATCATGACAGGTTAGTTACTATGATGCACTGGCATCTGTGCCAAAATTTTAATTTCCAATTTTCCCCAATGTGGTATAATTACATAATTGAAAAAGTTGTGAAAAATGATGTTAAAGTTTATGAGATTTTATGAGCAACTTATTTTAGCAACACAACTGATACAACAATAATTAAAAAGAATGTTTTATAGTTGTGACTATATTCAGGGATAGCAGAATTAAAGAAAAATAATTTGATAATAATTACAAAATATGGACAACTAATAATCGAATTGGATTGATTATGGAAAAAAACTTTTTATTTTGTAACAGATAATGGAAAGCCATTCCTATAGTTATATAGCACAGTAGGTAAAATAACAAAAAATGAAACATATTTTTAAAAGAATTAAATATTTGAATCATATCAACTATGGATTTATTTAAAAAACATCTTGTTGGATAAATTTAAATTTACTGACAAAGAAATAAAGGGAGACCAGTATAGCTATTTCAAGCTGATTAGCTCCCTTCAGCTAGCCATACCCTTCTTGGATTCAAACATGGGCCATTTACATATTAGGCAGACAGACCGGTCTCACTGGAAAAACACTTAATCTCCCCCCTGGTACAGCCAACAAAGCAAGGAGTGCTCGTGGCCTAGAAGTTAATACATCTGCCTAATATGTAAGTGGCCTGGGTTCGAATCCCAGAAGGGTATGGCTAGTTGAAGAGAGCTTGAAATAGCTATACTAGTCTCCCTTTATTTCTTTGTCGATAAATTTAAATTTAACATAAAATAGTTTGTCACAGAAGTGACTGCCTGTGAAGGCTCCTGGATTGAGGCTGAAAGGTGAAAGTGGAAGCTGTATGCTCCGTCCCATATTTGGATAGATCAGGTTGCCCTGATAGACCGGTCTTACCACAAAAACACTTAATCTTGGCATATCGACCGGAAGTGTCACGGCGAGACAGTCAGGGAATTAGCGGGCTCTGATGAACTCCGCGAAACCTGGACTGACGAACTGCTGCCGAGGAATCTTTGGACCAGAACCATCCTGTAGGGACAGGGAAGAAGGAGAGGCACCTCAGAAGACCAAGAGAAACAGGCAAGTTCCTCGAAGGTCAAAGGAATCTCTCTCCGATTTGGCAGTGGGGGCGGCAGCCATTGCGGCTGTCAAGAAGCTGGGGTAACCGGACTAAGTATTGAGCAGGAGCGGTGAATGCAACAGAGTTTTTGAAGATGGTGAGTGACAGCTAACCTACAGGCGAAGTAACAAAAAAAAATTATTTTTAAACCTGAAAGCCCCAGCGTAAAAATAGCGGCTAATGGGCATGGGGGGAGAATCTTCAGAGAGGAGCGGCATACAAATTGAATAAATAAATAAATAAAAAGAGGATGCAAGCAGAATTAAAAGGGACAAAAACCCATTAAGAAAATGGACTTTTGAATAAAATTATCTGGAAAATTTTAAGAATTAGAAGAAGTAACCCCAAAATTGACTAAAGGATTGGAAAGAAAATAAATAGATCCTTTCTTTTTGAAGGCTAAGAAAAATAAAAGACAATTGGATATTAAGCCCTTCAACAGAAGTGCTGTATATCTAAAGATAAAATAAAGGAGAAAAAAAAGAGGGGAAAATAATTGTTTAATTTGGATTGGACTATAAAATTTATTTGGTATTTTCAAAGTTAAAAAGAAGAAAAAAAAACTAGATTGTGAATGAGGATTGATACAAAATGGACACTTTGTTAAACAATTAAGAGAATTGTGGTTTGTAGAGAGACATCTTCAGGAGAAAAAAGAGCATTGCAATTTGGAATCTGTTTTGGAAAATTTTGAACTACATCAGTGATAATAGTCATGAGAACTTTTGGGGAGGATTGCCTTGTCTGCAAGCAGCTTAACTTTAGAAAAAAAGAAAAGAAAACAACGGAACTTTTAAAACTGGAACATTATTAACACAGAAAGAACAAAATGGCGCAGGAAATTAGAGAAATGATGAAAATGATGTACTTGTCGTAGAAAGCGGAAATAAGAGGAATAATTACAATGTTACATGGAGAATTGAAACTTGAGGATCCAAAAATTGAGATAGAGCACACTCAAGCTAACAAGGAAACAAAGACAGAGAAGCAAGACACAGAGACTGAATAT